ACACTAGTCAAGAGGAGAGGGGAGAGATCAGGGGAGGACAGATAGATTTGCGTGTCATCCGCATAAAAGTGATGTTGGAAGCCAAAGGAGCTGATGAGTTTACCAAGGGAGGCAGTATAGATCGAGAACAGTAAGGGAACAAGGACAGTATCAAAAGCAGCGGAAAGGTCAAGGAGAATTAGGATAGAGTAGTGACCATGAGATTTTGCAGCAGGTAGATCATTTGATACTTTGGTCGGAGCAGTTTCCCCAGAGTGCTGAGCGCGGAAACCAGACTGAAGTGGGTCGAGCAGAGAATTGGACTCGAGTAAGTCTGTCAATTTCACATACACAAGTCTTTCAAGGATCTTGGACGCAAAAGGCAGTAGCGAAATAGGGCGGTAGTTGGACGGGGAGTTAGGATCATGGTTGGGCTTTTTTAGAATCGGGGTTACAGTCACATGTTTGAAGGGTAATGGAAATATGTCCGATAAGAGGGAGAGATTGAGAATGTTAGTGAGAGGCAAAGCAAGAGAAGGAGACAGAGTACGGATGAGATACGAGGGAATAGGATCAAGGGAGCAGGTCATGATCCTTAGTAAAGGTATCATGAGTAGAGTTCGCCTCATCTCTCAGTAATCCATGTTTACATCAATCAGCCAAATGAAAATTCCATTACTAGATCTCCAGCAGTACAACATTAGCCCGTGATATGGCTAGAACAGTAAAGCTGCAACGTGTTTTTTCTCTTTCCTGAGGAAGGAAGGGATGTGAGGAAGACGCATGAGCCTTATGTACCAAATAGCTCTATGGGAAGCACTGGACTGGGTAAAACAGAACAGATGACTTAGGAGCAGGGGTCGCAGCATGACTGTCCCTGAATGGATTATAAGTAAGTTTCAAATATTTATTTTCTTCAGTGCAGGCTGTGTTTTTGATCTAAATATGAGGTACATATTATGACCCCAAAAGAGACAGCTGTATATTTGCCTTGTTTTAGCAATATAGTGACTGTCATGAATTCTATGTACATTAAAATTTTTAGGCTAAAAAAGCTTAATTGAAAATACAACAGCTTGGGTCATTTTTCAATCTTTGGACTAAAAATTGAAATTGATTCATACATTAATGACCAGTATTAATTCCCTGTTAATATTTATAACAGTGTATCTAAAACCTTTTACCAATAAGCTGTAAATCTTCCTATCACAAAAGCCTCAATTATCCAATTTCATTCTGCCAATACCCAAAAGTGATTACATTTCTGCTTAACACCATAAATAACGAAAAATTAAGTTGGTACTGAAGTACTACCAAATGTCAAGGGAACAGAATAATCATAATGTAGTGACCACAGCAAACAAGATCTATGCCAGCCCCATATATTGTCGCATGTAATATGTAAGGCTATGTCTACAGTTCTCCCATACTCCTAGACTCGACTGTAAAGGAGGTGGTGTAGGCATCCTTCTCTCCCCTCAATGTACCTTTCAACCTATCCTCCCTGCCCCTGCCCTATCCTTTACTTACTTTGAAGTTCACACTGTACGCCTTTTTAAGCCCACTCCTTTAAGAATTGCCATCACCTATCGCCCCCCCAGTCACCCTAAACTATTCATTGAACACTTTTCCTCCTGGTTACCCCACTTTCTTTCCTCTAGCACTCCCTCTCTCATACTTGGGGACTTCAATATCCCTATCAACAAGCTCAACTGCCCTGATGCCTCTCGTCTGCTCTCTGTAACCTCCTCCTTTGGACTCTCACAGATAGCAACTCACACTGCAGGAAACACTCTTGACCTCATCTTCACCAATCTCTGTACAACCTCTGATCTCACCACTGTTCCATTTCCTTTGTCTGACCACCATCTGCTAACATTTAACATCTGCATACCCCATACCAAAATCTCACCACCATCCACTCTCCAACCTCGCAGAAACCTCAACTCCCTCGATCTCCAGCACTTCTCCACTAAACTCCAAACACTCCTTTTACCCATCTCAAATCACAACTGCCCTAACTCTGCAACCTCACTCTACAACTCCACTCTCTCCTCTCAACTTGACATCATGGCACCTCCTACAGTTAAACGCAGCAAGCGCCTCCAACTACAACCCTGGCACACCAAGCTGACCTGTTATCTCCAAAAATGTTCCAGAACTGCTGAACGCTGCTGGAGAAAGTCTCACTTTGCATCTGACTTTGTCCACTATAAATTTATTCTGCGCTCCTACAGCATGGCTCTTTCCTCTGCAAAAGTAAGCTACTTCAACACCCTCATAAGCACACTGTCCCACCAACCCAAACACCTGTTTCACACTTTTGATGCACTTCTTCGCCCTGTGACTCCCCCTCCTTCCACCACCTTGTCCGCCACAAACTTTGCATCTCATTTCACTGAGAAGATCTCTACAATCAGGAAAGAGATCTCTAATCTTTCTCCAATCAGTATCAATACATCACCCAACCCCACTCCCCCTGCATCCTAAGCTCATTTGCACCTGCTACAGCACAAGAAGTTTCTGCTCGGCTCCTGTCCTCCCGCCCCACCACCTGCTCCCTCGATCCTATTCCCTCGCATCTCATCCGCACTTTGTCTCCCTCTCTTGCTCTTCCTCTCGCTAACATTTTCAATCTCTCCCTTTCCTCTGGCACATTTCCCTCTGCCTTCAAACATGCAACCGTAACCCCAATTCTGAAAAAGCCCAACCTTGATCCCAACTCCCCATCCAACTACCACCCTATCTCGCTACTGCCATTTGCCTCGAGAGAGTTGTCTACGCCAATTGACAGCTTTCTTCAACTCTCTGCTTGATTCAGTCTGGATTCCGTGGTCAAAACTGCTGTGACCAATATGTCAATATGGGATACTACTCTATCCTAATCCTCCTTGATCTTTCTGCCGCCTTTGACACTGGATCATCAACAGCTTCTTCACATTCTCCGTAACCTCTGCTCTCTCCTGGTGCTCCTCCTACCTCTCCCAGCGCTCTTTCAGTGTTTCTTTCTCTGGCTCTGCCTCTTCTCCCCAACCCCTCCCTGTCGGCATCCCCCAAGGTTCTGTCCTCGGCCCCCTACTGTTCTCTATCTATACTGCCTCCCTTGGTAAACTCATCAGCTCCTTTGGCGTCCAATACCATTTATATGCAGATGACACGCAAATCTACCTGTCCTCCCCTGATCTCTCTCCACCCACCTTGACTCGTGTTTCTGACTGCCTCTCTGCTATTTCCAACTGGATGGCTGCTCACTTCCTTAAACTCAACCTGTCCAAAACAGAACTTCTAGTTTTTCCTCCCTCAAGTGCTGCTACTCCTGTGTCTGTCTCCATCCAAGTCAACGGCGCTACTATCACCTCTACCTCCCAGGCTCGCTGCCTAGGGGTTCTTTTTGATTCTGATCTCTCTTTTACTCCCCATGTTCAATCGATAGCCAAATCCTGTCACTTCCAACTCAAGAACATAGCGCGCATCCGCCCATATCTAACGCCGGACGCGGCTAAGGTACTGGTTCATGCTGCTGTTCTCTCTCGCCTTGACTATTGCAATCCCTTTCTCACCGGTCTTACATGTTCCCAGCTTGCATCGCTGCAATCTATAACGAATGCGGCTGCGAGGTTTATTTTCCTGTCCGGTCGCACCTCCCACGCCTCCACGCTCTGTCAGTCCCTGCATTGGCTTCCAGTTAGATATAGGGCCCAATTCAAAATTCTGGCGCTTGCTTACAAATCCCTACATAATGCTGCTCCAACATACCTATCCTCCCTCATACACAAGTATGTCCCGTCGAGACCCCTGCGCTCAGCCCAAGACCTACGCCTATCCTCTGCCCGGATCCCCACCTCTGATGCTCGCCTTCAAGACTTCTCCAGGGCTGCACCTATTCTGTGGAACTCCCTTCCCTCCTCAATCAGAGTTTCACCCAGCCTCCACTCCTTCAAAAAATCTTTGAAAACTCACTTCTTCATTAAAGCGTATCAATTAAACTGTCAGCAGGTTTCTCATCCCCCACCCCATGACTCCGTTCTTGCACCTGTCAAAAATGACCTACCAAGCACTCAATAAACCCTTCTGTAACAAACTATTTAATTCCCCTACTTTAACCCTTTGTGTCACTATACCCCACTCCCTCTAGCATGTAAGCTCATCGAGCAGGGTCCTCAACCCCCTCTGTTACTGTACGTCAGTGGTCTGATCTCAATTATGTGTCTGTTAGTCCACCCATTGTACAGTGCTACGGAATTTGTCGGCGCTATATAAATAAAATAATAATAATAATAATAATAATAATAATGTCTTGCCACCCCAGATGATAAAATATATATCTCAAATATATATTGCTTTTTTTATATAAAATATTGGTCCTTTCAGAATAAAACGGTTAATAATAGAGTAAGCATACTCACATGCAGACACCATAGCCGTGCGCAGCCTATTGCATAAGGGTGTACACACTAAAGCACAAACACACACGCTGCGTGTATATGTATGTATATAATTATATATACACATACATGCACACATACATACATACACTGCTGTGTGTGTGTGAGAGGGTGCTGGTAGTGTGCTGTGTGTGAGGGTGCTGTTTGTGAAGATGCTGTGTATGTAAGGGAGCTGTGTGCTGGTAGTGTGCGGTGTACGGGTGCTGTGTGTGTAAGTGTGCTGTGTGTGAGGGTGCTGTGTGTGTATGTAAGGGTGATGTGTGTGTGAGGGTGCTATGTGTGTGCTGTGTGTAAATCTATTTGAAGGGATTGTGGGGGGGGGCTTGATGATCTCAGCCATAGAGGCAGAGCCAGTCGAGGGGAGACCAGCACAGCATAAAAAATAAATTAATAAAAGGTCAGTAAAAACACTATTTTTAACACACCATGACAGACAGACAGACACACACACACACACACACCATGACAGACAGAGAGACACACACACCATGACAGACAGAGAGACACACACACTGACAGAATTACACATATTACCTGTGGGCTGTGGCACAGACATTGAACACTACCATCCTCCTACGTAAACCTACTTTTTCTTACAATTGTGCCAACTTGTAGATATTATACCACACTCATTTCCATAGCACCATGTTTGGAGTTTGTTAATGGAGTTTGACCTTCAGTGCAAGACTCAATCCAACTCAGCTTGTGCAATCGCACAGATTTACAGACACAGGAATCACTCCTATCACAACCACATCCACTGGACTAATGGACACATAAGAGATGTGGGTGGGTGGAAATACTTGGTAGCAGATGTTCTATTACAAATAATGTTTTTGCCTTTATTTGAAAAAAATTCTAGCTACAACAAAAAAAGTATGTGCAAAAAAGTTAAAACACAGCAAACTTATATGGAAGCAGGGTCAAGTGAACTAAATACTCCGTTATATATGTAGTATTATATCCCCCCAGAATGTTGTACATCCAGTGGTCCAGCTGAGTTGGATGTGACATGAAAGATTCTAGTTAAGTTTGAGGAAAATGAAATCATGGAAAATATTATTAATTTGTATTGAATGCCCTAATGGTGCAATTAACTACAAAGATGAACCTGTAAGAAAGATGTCAATAAAGAAAGGCTGTCTTACCTGTCCGCAGCCAGGAGCGCTGCACACAAAAGGGCGATCGTCTCCCATTATGCTCTCTGCAACAATAAAAATAAGAAGTTGTAGCCATATCAATATATTTTAAAAAGCATAACTTCATGTTTCACTAATTAAGAAGACAAATAACCTTAACTGCAGCAAACCATATAATCAGTCCAATGATATCTTAAAGATAAGCGAGTAAAAAGATTTTATTTTTGTATTTCAATTCAAGGGACAGACATTCTAGGCGCCATAACCATTTCAAGCCAGGAGTCATCTGGCACTGCCCATTTTTGAGCAAGTTAACACTGAATGAGGGTCCCTGGCAACCCGCAGCCTGGTCCACTCCATTGCAAGAGATATAGTTAAGGCAGAGATTAAACTATTTCTTTGCCATATCAATTCATACCAGTAAAGCGTGGCTGTAACAAACATGTATTCTTGATACTATAGTGCTGGTGTGGCCTCTTAAGTCCCCAGCAACCCGTCAGAGCAGTGAAAAGGTGATTTTACTCACCTTTTCTCCCATGACACACCACTCTTGCCGTAGTAGACCACGCCTCCGTGTTGGAAATAATTTAATATCAGTCAATTTAATTTTTTTCCCATAGGAAAGCATTTGGAAGCTATTGCACATGAGTGGCAAATAGCCATGCTGCGCCAATCAGCATCACGTCATAGAGATGCACTGAATCAATGCATCTCTATGGGAAACATTCAGTGCCTCCATGGAGAGAGTGTGCAGACGCTGAACGTAGGTTCTGTACAGAGCACAGCACTGGACTAGAAAGCACCTTTGATGGCTGTCTGAGTGACTACTACTAGAGGTGTTACCTAGCACCAGTGTAAACCCTGCCTTTTCTCTGAAAGTTCCCCTGTGACAAACTCAGAGAATTCATTTTTTCACAATTATCCCAGAGTTGTCCACTTGACATGCTATATATATATTTACATTTACTGAAGACTAACTATACAACAGGATATCCTTAAAGAGATCTCTAAGCTTACCACCATTAATACTTCTTGTTTAACTGATTAAAACTCATGTTGAAATTAGCTCAAGTCTCCCACTAGACAACTGTGGTAAATATATACACCCATTAAGTCACCATTGTTAACACTTTAACGACAGAGGCAATTGTTCACATCCTGAACCAAAAAAAAAAAACTTGCACTGTTTGTTAAATTGTCCCAATACATTTTTCATATTGTTTTCGGTTTTTAAAGGGCAGTTAAGAGCTTTCTTTTAACATACTTACAGCAGAACAACATTAGAATACACAACATAAAACATTAAGTGTGAATAAAATATTAATATTATATACACATTTCTCCACATTTTTGCTTAAAATATTTTTAAATAGTGCAGCTAAATAGAAAGAGCTCAAAATATATTAACGAATCAGTCACGATTAATCCCTTACATGTTTAGGATCTATATCAGGGATGCTCAAATGTTAGATCCCCGGATTTTACCCTGCTTGCACCATTTGTAGCCAATGGGGATTTAAATGCCCATTCAAAAGACTGTATACATTGCTCACTTTGAGTGCTGCACGCAGAGCATCTGTCATTCTGGGGCAACTAAAAATGGCTAAATCTGACAGAGGGGAGCCCCAGGTATCAACTGATATAAGGGACATCGTGGTGTAAGCAGGGATTTAAAATTCTAAAGGCGTTAAATCCCAGTATAGTTAGGACGTAGTGACATCCCAAGTCGTTAAGTTGTTAAATGTGGCTTTATCGCTTTGTATAATTTTAAACAGATGGAGGAAAAGCATACTTAAAGGACCACTATAGTGCCAGGAAAACATACTCGTGCCCCCACCCTTGGGGTCCCCCTCCCGCCCGGCTCTGGGGAGAGGAAAGGGTTAAAACGTACCTTTATTCCAGCGCCGGGCGGGGAGCTCTCCTCCCTTTCGGCTGAATGCGCGTGCATTCAGCCGGTCTCATAGGAAAGCATTGGACGCTTGTGTGTTCTCACTGTGATTTTCACAGTGAGAATCACGCAAGCGCCTCTAGCGGCTGTCAATGAGACAGCCACTAGAGGATTTGGAGGCTGGATTAACCCTATTATAAACATAGCAGTTTCTCTGGCAGTTTCTCTATGTCATGGTGGCGTTAATTTTCATTTCTGGGCTGCCATACTACCGTCTCAAAGGCAACAAAGCCAATCTGGCAAATAATTTACAAAAACAGAAATTGATAACCAAATGCTAAAATGTACAGATACACCCAAAAACGTGGGAATAGACACACACTTAGTGGGTAATAGATAGAGACAAAAACCTCTAAAAACAATTACCCTTGTACTACAAGTACTGTAGATAAAGACTCCTCACAGTCCTCAAGATAACTGAGGACTGAATTTTATGATGTGCCTTTTTTCCACTTCAATCTTGTAAGTGTGTATGTATATTAAAGTGTCTATTTCTGACCAAGATACTCTGCACTATTATGTTTTATTTTTTCTCCTTATATTTGCCATGATACTTCACAAGTCCTGAGGTTTTTGATACGCCTACAATCAATTTTGGTTTGTGAGTGTAAATTTTGCATTTACTTTCCACTTCTGATTTGTTGCAACATTATTGCACTATGTTCTTCTTTGTTATTATTGTATTGTAGATTTTCTGTTTTCCAAAAACATAAATTGGCAAATTTTAGGTTTAACCCTGTAACTTTCCAAATCACCATAAAACCTGTAATTAAAGGGTACTGTTGTACTCGTGAGACATTACTCTACACTTTTAGAGCAGTTAAATGTATTATACTTAGATCATCAGTGAAATGGCAGTTTAAGTGTGAAAAATGCAAAAAAACTAATATAAACGCTAACTTTGGCTAGGGTTTGTGACTAAGTGTCTACTGAAAAAGACTGGACATACCCCATTTTGAATACCGTGGGTTGTCTACTTTTACAAATGGTATGCCATGATAGGGTTAATTTTCATTCCAATACGGTCTCAAAGGCAACATAAGCCCAGCAAACCAATCTGGCAAATTTCAATGTGCAAACATAGAAAAGGGAAAAGCCCTACATTTGACACATGTAAGTTTCCACAAACCCATAAAACCTGTACATTGGGGGCACTGTTGTACTCGGGAGAGGTTGCTGAACACATATTGGGGTGTTCTTTGTCAGTAACACATAACAGGAACTGAGAATCCATGCCTAAAGTACAATGTGAGAGAAAAATAAAAAATGCATACCCAAAAGTTTGACAGACTAGTGGTAGAATTAGTGCATGGAAAGTGTTAACACACCGGCATCTGAAATACCCTAGGGTGTCTACTTTTCAAAAATATATGGTTTGATGGGGTAAATTACATTGTCTGGCTTCAAAAATGTCCCAAATAGGACATGGGAGCATGATGACCAGCTGTGAAAATTCCAAGTTGGAAAACTGGAATGTGCACCCTCCAAATAAGGTCTTTTAGCCCCCAGAGAACCTGACACACCTATACACGTTGGTGGTATCACTGTACTCAGGAGAGGTTGCTGAACACATATTGGGGTTCTCTGTACATGTATTCTTAAATTCCTATGTGTGTCAAAAAAAAAATAAAAAAATCACCAATTATATTTTTTACAATTTGGCATAGATTGGTGGTAAAATTTTATAAATTTTTTTTTATAGTAAATTATATATGATATGATGAAAATAATGGATTCTTTAGAAAGACCATTTAATGGCGAGGAAAAAACAGTATATAATATGGGTGGGTACAGTAAATGAGTAAGAGGAAAATTACAACTAAACACAAACACCGCAGAAATTTAAAAACAGCCCTGGTCCTTAACTGTAAGAAAACTGAAAAACTGTTTGGTCACTAAGGGGTTAAACATATTTGCAATGAAGAAAGTGTAAACATTAGATGACTCTTTACATGAAGTGTTTAGGAAGGCTGTGCAAGTCACATGCAAAGAGGTGTGACTAGGGCTGTACAAAAAGTGATTTAACTCTTAAATGGCAGATAGAAACATATGTGACGGCAGATAAGAACCATTCGGCCCATCTAGTCTGCCCAATTTTCTAAATACTTTCATTAGTCCCTGGCCTCTTCTTATGCCTATCCAATGCATGCTTAAATTCCTTCACTGTGTTAAACTCTACCACTTCAGCAGGTAGGCTATTCCATGCACTACCCTCTCAGTAAAGTAATACTGATATTTTTAAACCTTTTCCCCTCTAATTTAAGACTATGTCCTCTTGTAGTGGTAGTTTTTCTTCTTTCAAATAGTCTCCTCCTTTATTGTGTGGATTCCCTTTATGTATTTAAATGTTTCTATCATATCCCCCATGCCTCGTCTTTCCTTCAAGCTATAATGAACCAGTTTAGTACCCCTTCTCTGAACGCTCTCTAAAGTATCAATATTCTTCTGGAGATACAGTCTCCAGTACTTCGTACAATACTCCAAGTGAGGTCTCACCAGTGTTCTGTACAATGGCATGAGCACTTCCCTCTTTCTACTGCTAATACCTCTCCCTATACAACCAAGCATTCTGCTAGCATTTCCTAATGCTCTATTACATTGTCAGCCTACCTTTAAGTCATCAGAAATAATTATGTTGAGGTTAGGACTCTATCAAATATTTTATACTCAGCCCTTGGGTTTTTACGTCCAAGATACATTATCTTGCACTTATCCACG